TTTTTTTTTTTCGTTTACTTCTTCTTCCATGCATGAAGATTGAAGACAGAATATTCTCTTACTGCAATGGTCCAGTTGTTCCCAAGCTTGACGCGAGTAGGGAAGGAACGGTCATCGCTACTCGCTCCGACGGTCAAGATCCACGGCGACGTGTTCTGCACCGTCTGCGGACTCGGCCCCGAGTTCCCCGCCGCGCATACGACTGCTACGCCCTTCGCCACCGCGTGGAACGCCCCGACGGCGATCGCGTTCCTCTGGTCCGCCTCCGGATACGAAGGCACGTCGGCGGCGATCGAAACCGACACGACGTCGACGCCGTCACGCACCGACACGTCGAACGCCTTGAGTATGTCGGCGCCGGCGCACAATCCGCCGCCAAACACGCTCCAGCAAACCTTGTACATCGCGATCCGCGCCTGCGTTGCGCCTCCCCTCACCGTCCCGACGCCCAATCCGTTGTAGCTCCTGTCCGCCACCGACGATCCGGCTGCGATCGTCGACGTGTGGGTCCCGTGGCCGCCGAAATCCCTAGGAGAGAGGTAATCCTGATTCTCCGTCGCGTTGTACGGCTTTCCGTACTCGGCTTCCAGCGCCTTGATGAAGAAACGAGCTCCGATCAACTTCTTGTTGCAGTGTTTGGCTCCATCGAACAACTCTCCTGACACGCAAATTCCTCTCCATTTCGAAGGGATCGGTCCGAGGCCTTTGTCGCTGAACGCCTCCGATTCCGGCCATATTCCTGTCCGCCATTGATGAGCTTGATTTGGTGAGCTTCATATATATATATATATATATATATAATTCACATATGTATATGAAACAGTTTTACACATAAGTGCATGCAATATACATGCGTATATAATGACCTGTATCAAAGAGACCTATGATCACATCTTCACCCAGTTTGGATTTCTGCAGAAAATGGGTTTGATAACGCGACGAGAGTTGAAGATAGTCCCAACTTCTTGTCGTTTGGACCTTGTAAAGCTCGTTTGGTATAACCAGTGCCACACCAGGTAACTCTACAACCAAACAAAAAATCTTGTTAATCATTGGAATTATTATTTATTTTTTTTCCTAAAGCCATAAGTCTCATTAGTCAAAAGTTCAAGTCTAACTTCAAATTGCAGCTTGAGCATAACGATTGGAGTTACTCGTCTTATAAAATTGCATTTTGGTTCGAATTTCAGGCTTTAAAATCTTTTCAACGAGTTCCGTAGTTTTACTATTTTGTTGATAGATATTAGATAACCTCTGAATTTGGTGTTTTTTGGCTTCGTTTATGAGCATGTACATGCAATATAACGCATCTTGATGACTCTGATATATTTTGCTCGTTTGTGCAAAATGCAATGATTGCCCAAGTGCTAAAAGTAAATAAACAAAATGCCCACTTTCCAAAACTCAAGCTTTAGGACAAAAAGGTGGTCAATTTGTCAAAGTAGGAGGGGTCATTTTTTATCCCAACAGCTCTCAAGTCTTTGGGAAAATGACTGTACTTTGCATATTAGCACATGGCTCGTGGTAATGGGGCCTAATTACCAGAAATTTTTTGGGCTTGGCTTTCTGTCATCTTGGCCGCAAAACCAGAGAAGCCATGTTTGTAACTGTAGACCATGGCTCTTGCAGATTCTTCTTTGCTGAGGTTAATGAAAAGAGT